GAGTGGAAATTATGTATTTGATTCTCTGTGAGGGTCGTGCTTTCATACACAAACATTGAGTAGTGCATGAATAGAACAAAATATTCATGATTATTATTCAAAGAAGTCGTCTTTAATTGAGACTTTGGAGCAACCTCGAGTAACGGGCTTAGAGACTCATCAATGCATGTATTTAAAATGCGAATGATCATTGACGTTAGATCAGTCTTTTAAAAGCGAAGAACCTCAGCTACTCCAGCCACCATTCTGGCAGTTTAGTCATTGATGAGTGAGTCGGAGATATAGTGATGATATTAAACTGCTGTCGATTTTAGTTGCAATCGGAAGAGCTTTGCTTGGTCGTGTTCACGTTGCTTCTTTAACGTTGAGAATCACTCTGAACAAGTACTTTTTTGTTTCAGCAAGTGATCAGTATCGTCGCAAAATGATCAGTCGACTAAAGTCGTGGATTACGTGGTCATGGACGTATTTGTGGGCCTTGTGGTTCCTTTTGGTTGTTGCACTCATTTATATTCTTCGCGGACCGCTCAGAATCACTGAATCTCTCGAAAGTGGTTCGTTTGTTCTACTTTCGATTCTTTTGTCTAGTGCTTTGGCTTCAGCCGTACTTACATGTAGGGTGTTATTGTCAACGCTAAAACTCTACTTTAAAAAGTTTTGATGTTGTTGCAAAGCGGCTGTTGTTGTGTGTATATTGCTTTCTTCATTGTGCTTTCAGTATTTAAGGTTGTGACAGCACAGTACGTGATTAGGTAAAATTTGATCTACTCAAGCCAGTGATCAGAGTGGTCTTTGAGGGATGAGACAGCTGCTATAATAACGGCAGTATCTTCATTTAAAGAAATGAACTGTGTTCGAATTCGCCTTTATGCTATTAAATATTGATATGTGATCACATTTTTATCATTGATTATTGCTTGCTCAAGATAAGTGCTCAGTGAGAGAATTTTCTATTTCAGCGTCCTCATACTTCAATAATTTGACACCAAAATTCTATGTAGCTTTAACGGGCACGTCAAGTCTTGTCTCAGGGATTATATTAATTTTTGAGTGGTGGTATTTTAAGAAGTAAGTTACTTTGTGGAACGTTTCCATTCATTTTTTATTTGTTTTGTCAACTTTATATTATCTTTTTTTTAAAATTGAAATTCAATTGTAATCATCAAGTGAGGTCTTCATTCGGTTACAAATTTTGGTCATTTTGTAGTTCGGGTTGCAAAACTCAAAATGGCAGTTCGTCCGTACGTATCCGCAATTGAATATAGAATGTGAACAGCTACAAAATGTACGAATGTACGGACGAAATGACGAAATGTTTTGACTTCAGCAACCTAAACTATAAGCACACCCTATTTCTATTACATAAATATACGGGCTTATTAAAAAGAACGAAATAATTTCGGGTGAATACTCAAGAATATGATTATTATCGATCATTATTATTGTTGTTAGCATTTTACTGTTGTGATTTTTGTTGCGATTGTTGATC